TTTGCTATAAATAGTGACATGCGATTTTTAATACAGACGGGAGATGAATCTTAAACTTCACCCAAATTCTTACTGAATAAAAATACATGAAAATGCCTTTATTAACACCCAAAAATCAAAATAAAAAACGCCGGGGCGGGAGACTTTGAGAGGGGCGGGCGGGGATGAGAATCTAAAGATTACTTTTATCTGGCCTTACATAGGAATATATAGGGAAACCTTTTAAAATTTCTTTTCAAGAACTTCAAATCCATGCTTAGTGATATTTATATGGAATCATCCTCAGGTAGTGTAGATTCATGTTTGTTCAAACCATGACCCCCTATGAGGTTTCAAGCCCCCCCCCCCCCCCCAACTCGTTAAACTTTCAGTTCGGATCTGATATGTGCTTTTTCCTTGCAAATTGCTCAGGTGAGCGATGTGGCCCCTGGGCCTCTTGTTTTTAATTTAAGTTTTTACAACCAGAGCCATTTCATGCACATGCCACTTTGACTTTATATTATGTTACTAAATTTGATGAATAAATTTGCTAGGCATAGTCACATAGTCAGTCACACAAGTTTACTGTAACAGATACAATTTAAAAATTATTTTTATTCTGTAACTGTACACAATGCAAACAATTGGAAAGATGTTTAACTTGTTATTTGAGGAGAAAAATCCTTTTTATGCTTTCAAAGTATGGGGCACGTATTTGGTCTGTTTGTCTACAAAAACAAAACTTAAACCATGGTTTAAGACAAGGAGTGTCAGTGGGTTGTTTTGTTGTTTCAAAAACAGCTGCATTTAACATGAAGGTAAAAAAAAAAGTTGAGAAGTCATACACAAAAAAGAATATACACCCAATATAGCTACAACTTGAATGCACACCTTGACAAAGCCAATGGTTGATTTGAAGCATCAGATTTTCACTTTGGTGAGACTGTAGACTATAGCCCTTCCTAATCACTGCATCTGATTTTGACCTTAAAGTTTAACTTACCTATAAAAATCACTAATCATACTTCAAACTTGTTCATAAAAATAGGTTTTCGCATTTGATATACAGTGCATTCCTCGTGGAAAGACATTTATTGGGTACCAAAATGTTTTATCACTTGATGTTAACTTTGGAAATCAATCAGCATCTGAAAGAGTTTAATATTGGCAATATTAAAGCTGCTATACAGGGGCATAAGTTAAACAATAAAATGTTTCCCTTGGTTGTTAGTACTGAAAATAATCTTGCAGCTATTGTAGAAAAAATGCATAACCCAGCCATGAAAGCTCAATATAATCAAACAAATTATTTCCTTGCTTGTGCTTTTAATTTTCAAGATATAGATGTTTCTCAGACTTCAAGACAAATTTTTAAAATCCTATTCCAGTATTGAAACACAGGGGTCTGAAGTTTTATTTAGTGTCGGCAAATCGGACGAGTTTTAGTAACCGGTTACTCGCTTAATCTTCCGATCGAGTACCCAGTGACTCGGATGATTTTTTTAGATAGTTCCGTATTTATTATTAATCTCGTCCTTTTGCATATTGATAGAAATAGATAATAAATGTTATATATATGAACTTAATTTACAAATACAAACTCCAAAAACACAATATCTCCAAAGAATTTTTATTTTAAATGTCACTTGAAATGGGGAATTTGTTTTTGCTTATGAAAATAATTTTATCTACATTCGAAGAAGATATTTTTCACGATCGAGGAGAATTAACATACTGCAATACCCTGTAACACTTTGCAAGTTTTGTTATTTTTCTTGAGTTTCATGCAAGTCACTGGATATCAATTTTTTTCAATCTTTATTTTCCATATATAATATTCTTTACCATAACGGGATATTTGTAGTCCCACCCGTATACGACAACTCCGATTCACATAAATTGCAATTTGACAGATTTCGAGTCAGCCGTTCTTTAACAATATTTCCACACTTAGATGTTTGCGGCGGCATCTTGTTAAAGTATGTTCCTCTGACTAACACAGGTCTAAATTAGGTAATTATAACTCAGGTCTTCAAAACGTGTACCCCCTGGCAATTAAAGTCATCAATTAAACTAATCAAAACAAATCGATCCTATTTGTGAACCACTAGAGCAAGCCTAACGTTAATTAGATTAGAGAAATGTGTCCATATAAATTTACAAAAACATGTAACATAAAAATTATTTTATACATATTTACTATGAAAAATGTATTTTTATCCGAGTAACCGAATAGCAGTTTTACTAACCGATACTCGCATCGTTCGACGGTTAACCAGTTAACCATCGACTCATTGCCAACACTAGTTTTATCATTAAAAAAAAATCCTGAAAAAAATATCCCATCCTCAACTAAAATAATACTTACTTGAGGATGAGATATTTTTTCCAGATTTTTTTTTGCTATAAATACTTCTGACTCCTGTGTTTGAAATAGCACTGTATGTGCTGTTGTTCAAAAAACTATTGGCAATTATGTTAATTATGCCCTGTTACATGTATCAGTAATTATTGTAATTATGCCTTGCTTTACAGATGGCCCCAGTGGGAATGTTGTGTCACCATTCCATGATATCCCTCTCTTTGCCAACACAGAGAAGACAGTGATGAATATGGTGGTGGAGATTCCTCGCTGGACCAACAGTAAAATGGAGGTAAATAAATACTCAATCTGATCCTAGATAAAAGAAATAAAGATATGGTAATACATTATGTAAACATCAGTCTTATATAAGCTTACCACTTAAAAGAGACACCTATATCAAGTGTATATACATATATAAAGACTACAAATGATTATATGTGCCATGTCACATTGATTTATTATCAATCTAGGTAAATTACGGTTGATTGTTTTCCAGATTTGCAAGGAGGAGAAACTGAACCCCATTAAGCAAGATGTCAAGAAGGGGGCTTTAAGATTTGTGAAGAATGTCTTTCCACACCACGGCTACATTTGGAATTATGGTGCTTTTCCACAGGTATAGCAGCATGCTTCACTGAAGTGAAGGTTCAACTTATCAATTTTTTTTTTCCATTAATAGTAAATACTGGTACATATATGATCATACAAGATTATCAAGATATGTGATGCTATGGCTTTGTTAAATTTTCTAAATTTTAGATTCAGAAAATATTGAAATTCTCACAAACATGACTTTGCCATGCACAGAAATCATATTTACCTTTGTTTATACACTGTATCTTTAGACATGGGAGGATCCAAAGCATGAGACCCCTGAAACCAAAACCCTTGGAGATAATGACCCCCTGGATGTCTGTGAAATAGGTCAAAAGGTAAATTTATATAATTTCAATGTATATTTGTCTATAGGACACAAGATCCTCAGTATGTTTGAAAATATATCATATAGAGATATAGGAAAAATATGAGTTCAGTGATTATTTGGACTTGCAAAGAATATTTTTCATCAGATTATCTTAGAATAATGCTTTTTAAATGTACCTGAACCTAACATTGGTGGGATGGGTCAAAGAGCAAAGTTCAAAAGCTATCCAGAGGAATGGGATCATGATTTTGACAAATATGCATCTACACTGCTTGAAAATGTTTCCATATACATGTAAAACCACTAATCATGGCATTGCTTTTCTTGAGAAGTATGCCTTTCAAAGATTTTTCATAAGTATTTTGATAATGTAAAATTTGTTCAACCTCAGGAGTCATGCTTTGATTGTTAATCAATACGTTAAATCGCGACTACCAATGAGTACCTTGCAGTTATCTAACTTACTTCCGCTCTTTTGCGGGGGAGTCGAGAAAAGTCTAAATTTCTGGGGGCAAACGACATTGTTTATAGTAGTGACAATCGAATGATTCGAACAATTTAATGCCGAAATCTCGATGTTTTGCCAGATATTGAACTCCAAATAGTATATTGTCAAATAAGGAAAGTTAAGAATATTTTATCTGCTTAAAGATGTGACGATTTTCAATGAAAATTTAACGAGAAGAGTCTGCTTAATTAAAAAATATCGTTAAAAATCTGACAATTTAGGATTTGCTCCTCTCAAAAATATATTAGGCTGGTTCAGCGATTGTTTAGCGAGGTATTCCACCAGGATTTTTTACTTATCTGTCCTTATAGATGCTACAATGATCGATCTTGCATTGTATTGAATAGCACATTGCCCCCACCCAACAGACGATTCCTACCTCCTTCGCGAAAGAGTTCCGCAAAGTTAAGTAATCGCGATATCAGTATTAACACTGAGGATGCTAACATATATACGTTTGACTAATCAGGACTTTGCTATTCTAGAGAAGGATTTGTAAGATTTTCCCCTAATAATGCATTTCTGTGTAAAACTTTATTCATCCATTTTGGTCCCACCATACCCCTGGAATTGACGATTTAAAAAAAAATTGTACACGTATTGTATCTGTCCTATATGAGGATGCTTCCAGTTCCTTATAAATATGGCTGATTATAGTTTTGCTGTTCTTGATTTTTAAATTTTAGATTTTTAAAGATTCTTCCCATTTGTTCTTGTGTAAAACTTTGATTTCCAATTCAAGCCTTACTTTTGCTTCTTATAGCAAACTCATTTGTTTAAATTAAAAAACGGAAATTCATCAAACTAATTTATGTTCATTAATATTTCCAGGTACATAAACGTGGAGCAGTAGTCCAGGTGAAGGTCCTGGGTGTTATGTGTCTGATTGACGAGGGTTTGTCTTTATATATCTTAACCTTATCATATTTACAGCGAACAAAAATAAACTTTCCATGATTTCAAGCTTATATGAAGGCAGCATATGATTTTATTAAAAGAAACTTTTTTTCCTTCATGTAATTCTTTTCTGAAGTAAGTTAGATGCTGTTATTGTTTATTTGTGTCTTTTAAGATAAAAAGAAAGACACTGTGATGTATGTCTCAGCCAGTATCTGTTGAAGTTCACTTAAATTCATTTTTTAAAAAAATATTTAAAAATTTACAATAAAAAAATATAAACTTTAGTAGCTATGATTTCATGGTTTCTACAAAATGCATTTTTAAAAGTATTATTTAAGAGATGTATTTGATTTTACCTTGTATATTTTTTAGGTGAGACAGATTGGAAGATAATTGTCATCGATGTGACAGACCCATTAGCAGCTGAGTTAAACGGTAAGAAATGGTAAACATGTATTGTGAATTGAATTATGTCTTATATGATCTGACAGCCTCTTGCTTACAGTATGCAGTACTGTAAACAGTAAGTCAGTGTCTAAATATATTGTACAAGTTTATAACATGTATTTTTAAAAAATCATTCTATTTTATTTGAAAATTTACAGACATAGAAGATGTAGACAAACATATGCCTGGCTTCCTCAAGGTAAGAGGCTTATAACTTTATTAATGATTACACATAGCCATTCTGGGCCAGGAAAGCTGAAACTTATATGGAAGCATCCTTGGGTAGTGTAGATATTAAATTGTTAAAATCATGACCCCCAGGAGTAGAGCGGGGCCACAATATATAGAACAAATCTTTAAAAATCTTCTTCTCAAGAACCACTGGGCCAGGAAAGCTGAAACTTATATGGAAGCATCCTTGGGTAGTGTAGATTCTTAAGTTTTAAAATCATGAAAGGGAAGGGAGTAGTGGGGCATGATAGGTATAGCAAGAGGGGGAATCTGGTAAAGAACTGCATCACCCAATTTACTCAGGTGAGCAATGTGGCCCATGGGCCTCGTTTTATGACCCCTTTCGAAAAAGAGAGGGCATATTGCTATGCTGCTTTCTGTCAGTCCTCTATCAGTTTCCGTTCATTTTCTTCGCCATGGTTGCACATACTGAATTGAAATATAGAATGCAGATTTATCATGAGAATATCTAGATCAAGTTCTCTTTTGGGTATGATCAAGATATTTTGGACACAGTAATGCCCCTTTGACTTAGAAAAATTCCAATAATTTGCAGTTTCCATTCATTTTCTTTGCAGAGGTTTGCAGAGGTTGCACTTATTGAAATAAAATTTGGCATACAAATTTATCATAAGAATATCTAGGTCAGAATCTGTTTTGGTTATGATTAAGTCATTTTGGACAGTGTTTTGTCCCTAGAACTTCGAAAAATTTCAATTATTTGGAAGAGGGGGCATAAGTGTTTAACAAATATCTCGTTTTATTTTGTACCAGTGTGGAAAAAATTCTTAGATATTTAATTTTGTGCAACCCAAGTACGATTACCAGTTGTTCAGTTTCATCAGTTCATAATTAATGTTTCAGAAATCTTCCATAAATTATCACTTAGATTTTTTTTCAGGCAACATACGAATGGTTTAGAATTTACAAGATCCCTGATGGCAAACCAGAAAATCACTTTGCTTTCAATGGTGAAGCAAAAAATAAGGTACACGCTACATATTTCATTCAGAATTGATGCATTGTAATGAAATGAAGTTACATGAGTATCTATGATATTTGTTCTTTTTCTTCTTTATTTATTACACAAAGTGGATTGTAGCTATGTGCTCTGTTCCACATACATTTGTAATCTTCATGTGTTTTTCAGTGACCTAAAATCCAGTATGTTTTCTAGTCCTTGAAAAAATTAATGCTACCCAAATTTTCATATCATGCAAAATGACAAGTTAATGCAAGTTTGGCATTTTAAAAAAAAATTGCATATTCTGATCAAATTTTACTTATATCTTCTTTTTTTTTTTGAATGATTGACAAGCACTGGATTTAAACATAGTTTCCACTCTAAATCCTGTAAATGTACTCAGTTTAGCAGTAAATGTCAGTATTCATATTTAAGCACCTTTCACTGTAAATTCATATGCACAATTATACATGCTTTAAATTAATACTTTTTGATTTCAAAACTCAAATGCTCTAATTTCTTATTGACTCTAATCAATCAAATAAGAAAATGCCACGGAATTAGAGTGCACTGTTATCTTCATTTACAATTTATCATATTCTGCATGTGCAATACATCTCTTGCAGTGAAGTGTACTTTTGTTGTAATTATGATTTATTATTCAGTAATTATTTTGTTATCAGGAGTATGCCATGAAGATTGTAGGAGAATGTAATCAACAGTGGCAAAAATTAATTGGCAAAGAATGTGATAATAACGGTTTATCATGGTAAGTGGTATTTGACAGATGTGAAGTAGTGAGTTTTACAGTTTACTTAATTGACTGGATTGTTTAGAATGGACAGTCAGTTGTAGTAAAAGTTGTTTTGTTTTGAACATTATGTCAAAGAGATTGGACACAAGTTCCAAAAACTTAGATATTCCTCTCCCATACATAAAATCTGGATAGCCATACAACATTTACAATAATATATACATGTACATAGAACAAAAACAATAAAAGTTCTGCTGTTAAATTTACTCATACACATACTTGTTAAACAGTGTTTATGAAAAACAGTGCAAAGTGATTTTCTTCATGATTTTATTTTACCCTCACTGTTAAATGAACCAAATAAAAAATGTTCACTATTTCAGAGATTCCATATTGGTTTTGGCGGGATTAAGGTTCAAAATATAGATCATGGATTGACTTCTGGAAATGATCCCTCTATTTGCTCTTACTGTTTTTGTTAATTTGCTCTCATCTGTTAGCCCTTACTTTCTATACATTATGATATATAGGTATTGCTGAGATCTTTCTATATTCTTCTCTGTATCTGTTGGTTTCCCTTCTGCACTCATTCTTTTGTAATGTTTCAGTGAGAACACATCTGTGGCCAGCAGTCCATACAAAATTTCACCAGAAGATGCAAAGAAAATCATTGACAGTGTGAGCATAAGTGTATATTTTGAATTAAGAACATTAGATTCATTATTAAGCAATACTGTTTTTGTGCAAAAAGCACTGTAGATCATTTCTTTATTAGCTTTACGATGATTTTTAATTGTCTTGTTTTCTGTATCTATTCAGCAACCACAACTAGGAGCCGCAAAACCATTAGCTGACGAGAGTAAGAAATTTTGAATTATTAATTAATGATTATTTTTTTGTTTTGTTTATTAAAGATATAATAAGTGGTATATTTGTTACAAAATGTTGACCCATTCCATGATATAAATTGTAGAACTTTTTTTTTTTTTTAAGTTTATTTCTTATGTCTAGGTTCAGATAAATATTCAACATATACACTATGAAAAGACATCAAAAGTAAATCCACACATTTGTAAATTTTCTTAATTATTTATGTATTTCCAGTCACTATTTTCATGTTTTGTTTCAGTCAACAAATGGCACTACGTCAAGCTATAACAACGATACTTTATAGAGGAAGCAATGGAATCGACCAGAAAGGCTGTAATTAGTACTTAGACATATCATAAAGTAGTGCTCAATGGTTAACTCCTATCTACAATCTCTTTACTGTGTTTTATAATCAATCTACTGAGGGAATATGTGACTGTTGATCTTGTACCTGTATTACTTTATGTTTCCATAGCAGATATAATTTACAATAATTGTATGATAAGATAGCTTTTATATCAGAAATTATTACATGTAATTGTGTAACGTAATAATGTTTTTGATTGATACTGTGTTAAGAATTGTGAAATTATTTCTCAACAGCAGATCATTATTTATGGCAAATGTGGCTTATGGCTTTGGTTGTAGTATATTATGAGCAAGACTAAGCTCGTTAGAACTTTAATGAATCTTGATTTAGTGCTACTAATACATTGAATTATGATCAGCTTTTGATACCCGGTATTATAAAATTATTATGTATCATTTATTGCCTAAAGAATTAAATCTGAATTGTCATATTTATTCCCTTTTTGTTCCCTATAAAAATAGCTTTTTGCAATGCTTTCAGGAACTGCATTATTCAATAGTACATGTAAATATGGAAAATATTTTTCTACTTGTATAATTAGGAATATATGCACGATTTACACATGACATTTTGATATAGATACATACAATCAAATTTTTTTAGATTGGTTTTGATTTTGTATTTATTTTTGGTTAGAGGAGTCCAACGCATCGGAATAAGTTAGATTTTTTTTCGTTTATCCGATAGCAGAAGAATATTCCAAGTAGATATACATAGTGATAGAACTGTATACATTTTTTTTAATGTACTTTTCATGTTTTCAAGTACATATGCATGCAGAACTGTACCTTTTCAAAACATCCAAGCTAGGTAAAGTGTTACATTGAATGCTTTAATAAGACCTGTCAAAATCTTGTCATTTCTACTGGCAATAAAATTTAAAAAACTGGTGTTTGAGTTTTATGACTAAGGTCAGATGGGCCAGGTTTTATCATAACAACCTTTACCCATTTTGTATTTTTAAACCAAATTACTTGTACTTTATTTGAAAACTACATTCAAATATGTTAATCCACAGGCCTCTGAATCAGAGGCCTGTGTTAATCTTATGGTGAACTGAGTTATTCTCAAATATTATATTTGGGGTAAACTTTTATGGAGAGTAATTTGAATGCAATGCCCTAGAATTATGAAAAATTATGAAATTATGAAAAAATTTTGGGATAATTGTACCAAAAGTAGTTCAGAATTGCTTGAAAAAGTTCAGATAGAAGCTGCCAGAATTATTACTGGGCTTGTAATTAATTCATCCAGAACTTGTTTGTATGGTGAACTAGGGTGGGAACCATTATACCTTAGAAGAGAAAACACAAACTTCAATTGATGTATAAAATGATTAATGGTTCTGCGCCTGATTATTTGTATGATTTGATTCAACCTTGTTTTCCTGTTCAACATGCATACAACCTAAGGTCTGGATGTAATAACTTATGTATACCAGTTTGTTAAACAATATCGTACTATAATAGTTTTATTCCCTCAACCATAAAACTTTGGAACAGTCTTAGTGAAGATGTAAAAAACTCTCCTTCGTTACCTATCTTGAAAGCAAAGCTTAAAGCAATATGAGCTGCATGTTTGACATCGGAAAAAAATGTTGAAAATTTGTAATTAAATATTTCAATGACAGAAAAATAGAACATTTATATACTTCTGTTGTTAATATTTGCTACGGAAGAACTTTTTATACGCTTTGATTGAAGCAAAATTGAATTATTGTCGTCCTGTACAATAATGATTTCTTATATAATACTGTATACTCTGTTGTACAGAAATATTTCTTCTGAAACAGTTTTAAACTTTTTTTGGTTTTATTGATCATAAGGGTTTAGATTACATACAGATTAATCATAATAACACATTTTACAAGCAAAATAAAATTCCCCAAAATGCAGCTCATATTGCTTTAAAAATTGGGGAGCAACTAATAAACCTTGTAGGTACTTTAATTTTGGTAATAGAAAAGAAAATATCTTGCATTGTCAGTTGCAAAACAATGCTAGTAATCTTAATGCACATTTAAAAAATCATTTTTTATCAGATATTCAATCATGTCATAAGTGTGGATTTCATACTGAAGATACTGAATATTATTTTATCAACTGCCCATCATATAATGTTGAAAGAAACTTATTGGTAAAAAAAATTAAATGATATTGATGTTGTTTTTGAACTCGACACTCTGCTAAGAGGAAAATGTCAATACTCTTATCAAACAAATTGTAAAATATTTTCATATGTACAAGAATTTATTAAATCTTCTAAGAGACTAAATTAGGACACTGTTATATTAAATACTCTATCAAATGCATAATTTTTTTTCAAATATTTGTATTATTTTTTTTAAGCTGGAACAGTATGTAAATAACATGTATACAGTTAGGGGGTTGTCATCTTTTTTAAAATAAAATATTGATGAATAATACTTGATTGTGATTCTTTATTTTTCATTATGATTTTATTGATTATCATGCTCATGTATTATTACATGTATCTTGACCTATTATACAAGGAGAGGGTGTACATAGGCCTTGCCTGTTGCCCAATCCTTATTGAATTATTCAATAAAATATGTTTAAAGTAATTATGAAAAAATTGAGGATACTGTTGGGATATCCACATCAGTTTTGTATATCTGATCTCTCTGTAGGGAACCTGCGTTTCTCTCTCAGATCTCCCCGTATTTTAGGTAAAGAAAGAGGGTGTACAAGGAGAGGAAAGTCCCCTGCTCTGAGATAATATATTTCTCAATTTTTAAAGTTTATGGAAAAGTTATACTTTACTAAACTATGTTTTCGGTAATGTCATCTTCACATTTGTTTCATTTATTTTATCTCGGCTCTTGAAGTATAAAACTAACAAAATAAGCGGGAAAGTATGCTTCCTTCAAAATACAATGTCATGGTCCCTTGGTCAAGACTCTATTCATTTTGTTTTGAAAATGCGTTTGTGCTTTGAAAATCTCTTTGTTCATTTGTTATTAAGCGGTTCAACAAGTGCAAAGTTACAGTGAGCAAGGGTGCCTCTTCCAAAATTTTAAAATGCGTGTCCCTTGGGTATGAGCTTGTGGTTCTTTAAGTGGTTATGATGAACAGGGTTGGACCCAGCGTTAGGGCAGGGCTCTGTTAATAAGAGGAAAATGCATACTTCATTGGCGTTAGGGTTAGAGTTTGAAAAAATCCCAACAAAAAGTGTTCCATAAAACCATATCCTTATGGGAGACAGACCCAATCAAAACATTTATTTTCAGAACATTTGAGTTCAGATTACAGTGGCGGATCCGGAAATCTTTAAAGGGGCGGCCGGTTTTGGATCGGGGTAGGGGACCACGGTCATACCCAGAATTTTTTTTTATTAAATCTTATATATATTTTGGAAACAAAAGGGGGACTTGTTTTCAAAACATGTCAACCCCCTCCCTCTTCAAGATGAAATGGTCGTCTCCTAAACTAAAGCTGAACAAGCGGTGTTGAAATTTATAAATGTTGAGACATTAACTGATATAAGGGAAAATGTGCTGACAAGTTGTTCTATGGTCTTTCAGTATATTTTTCATTTGTCGGAATTTTTTAATGTAAAATTATACAAGGCATCAGTCAAAAAAGTTTAACTTTAATTAAATTAGGCGCATTTTATTTAAATTGTGTACCTAAATGTAAGTTTCAAATATTCTCTCAAATACGTATATGTTGAGGAATGATGAACATTATATTCATAATATTGTACAAAATCTCGAAATTTCTACAGGATTATCTTGCAAGAAAAGATTGTTAGTTTCAGTGAAAGAGTTGTTGACTGACGAATCGATTAAAATATTATTAAAAAGAAAATATCTTTAGTGCTCGAGTTTTATTAACATGACAGTACTTTAAATTAATATGTGAAGAAAACGATTAATAATAATTTGGAGGTACTTTGTGACTATCCGTAGACACGTGATTATTTTAGGCTTTAAATCGTTCAAAGTAAACAAATATTGAAATCAAAGCGTATTAGAAGGGGCAGGTTACTCTGCGATGGTAACCTAATAAATTTTAACTGAGGCGCAGATAATAAATGAAATATTTATTTATAATAGGAAAAATTCTAATATTTACAAAAAATCGAATTTGAAGAAACTTTCTGTTGTTCATTTAGATCGTTGACGGTGATTGTGTACATACTATCGAACTGCTGTGGATGTCATTTCTAAAAATACTGCCGATCGACATATTTAAATCTTACCTTATTTGGAGATAATGAATTTATGCACACAGTCTTTGTCTAAGAACGTTTAATGAAAGCTATTTAGAATTTAAAGAAGAAATCTAATTAATGAAAAATAGATATTTTGAGAATTTCTTGAGCAAAAACTGATACTTTACTACAGTAATTAAAGAATGAAGAAGATGAAGTAAGGCCATTTGAATCAGCGAATTTATGAATGTTCTCTTTTGATGTCTACTTTTAGAAGTGACAACAAACCCTGGATATAGCCATGACAAGTAAATGTATCAGCAAGGCTGGTATACCTGTTTTCTTTTCCATATATGGGTTTTGCACTTATTTTATGGACTATATGACAAACAGATTGGTCACAATTTCTGTGAACTTGGGTAACTTCTCTCCCATATAAGGTCCTTGTTGACAAATTAATGTGTCGTGGAACATATATAAGTAATGGACCACCAAACATTGGATAGAAAACTACGTCTTGCAAGTAATTTTCAAGCAACTTAATTTTTTAAACTGTGAAAATGGTTGATGACGACGTCGCAGCTTTGGTTATTGACAATGGATCTGGAATGTGTAAAGCTGGATTCGCCGGGGACGATGCTCCCAGGGCCGTGTTTCCCTCCGTTATTGGGCGCCCAAGATATCAGGTAAGATACTGGCACCTTATGTTGACTCTTTTTCAATTAAGGCACGATTTTTACAACTCTAACTGTATATTACTAAACGTTTTTCTGTATTATTTATTACTAAAGATTTATTGATATGTACACAAATTAAATTAAAATGTTTCATGAAGAAGCTTAGAGAAATTGACTAAAATAATTCCATTGTTCAGAAAAACTTCATTTAAAAGCAACTCGAAGCAAATTCACTAGATTAACTAGGATAAGTATTTCTAGATACGATGTCTATATTAAGATTTAATTTGATTATTTTAATTCATAGGGTGTGATGGTTGGCATGGGAAATAAGGACACATATGTAGGAGACGAAGCCCAAAGCAAGAGAGGTATGCTCACCCTCAAGTATCCCATCGAACACGGCATCGTCACAAACTGGGACGACATGGAGAAGATCTGGCATCACACCTTCTACAATGAACTCCGTGTGGCCCCCGAGGAACATCCCGTTCTTCTGACCGAGGCCCCACTGAATCCCAAGGCTAACAGAGAAAAGATGACACAGATCTTATTTGAAACCTTCAACTCCCCAGCCATGTATGTTTCTATCCAGGCCGTGCTTTCGCTGTACGGCGCTGGCCGTACCACTGGAATTGTCCTCGATTCTGGAGATGGCGTATCTCACGTAGTACCCATCTATGAAGGATACGCCCTTCCCCACGCCATCGCACGATTGGATCTCGCTGGGCGTGACTTGACTGATTACCTCATGAAAATTCTCACAGAACGTGGTTACTCTTTCACAAGCACAGCCGAAAGAGAAATTGTCAGAGACATGAAAGAGAAATTGTGCTATGTTGCTCTGGACTTCGAACAGGAAATGACAACGTCAGCTTCTTCATCATCCATAGAAAAGAGTTATGAACTTCCTGATGGAGCGGTCGTCACCATTGGCAACGAGCGATTCAGATGCCCAGAGGCTTTGTTTCAGCCGGCCTTTCTGGGATTGGAACCTTCTGGTATTCATGAAACGACATACAACAGCATCATGAAGTGTGACGTTGATATCCGAAAAGACTTGTACTCAAACTTGGTATTGTCTGGAGGTTCAACAATGTACCCCGGAATCGCTGACCGTATGCAGAAAGAGATTACAGCGCTAGCTCCGAGCTCAGTGAAGGTACGAGTCATTGCTCCACCAGAGAGGAAATACTCCGTCTGGATCGGGGGTTCTATCCTTGCCTCCCTCTCCACCTTCCAACAGATGTGGATCAGCAAACAGGAATACGACGAATCTGGTCCGTCCATTGTCCACAGGAAATGCTTCTGAGGATAAAAGAATTTGTTTTATTATGTATAACATTACCTTTTGTGTCCTTTTGTCATCTCTGAGATCAAGAATCGACTTAAAATGAGGACTCATTTGATTCATTTCAGGAATTTTAACATTAGCAGCTTGCAAGGGGATATATTTTTTTGTTTGATACCGGTATTTTGTATTGAAATATTTTTAAAAAATCAAATAATATTTTAAAAGTACTATGATATTATATTTTGAATTATTAAATCCTTCTATAATAAATATACATGCACTGTGTATATATATTTTTGATTTCATTTTCTTCTTTTATTTGTAATTCAAGTGAAAAAAAAATTGAGCGAGTGCCAAAAATGTTATTTTCCTTTTTAAGTATTTATGTCTATTTCAAGATTATTATTGTATTTTGTATTAAGGTAAGTCACTCCTGAAATTTGTTAAATCAAGGATTTTTTGAGAAGTATATTTTGGATAAGTATTCATAAAGTGTAACTCAAAATCGCAAAGAAAATAGGAGGTCAGTGTGCATCCTACTGATCTACGGTACATTTAAGTTGACCTTTTTGCACTTAAATTTCATCTCTTTGGTTAATTACTTTAACCCTTATTATATTTGATCAGATGTTAGCATGGCAATAAATATAATCTTATTTTACGTAAAAAAGTTTGAATAGTATTTATCATTAAACAAATCTTGCAAATTATTGCGCGTAAATTATTGTGTGACCTTTTTGCACTAAAAAAAATAACATATTTGGGGTATTAAGAAACTTAATAGGCAATAAAAAAATTTCTTATATCAAACTTTTTACGACTTAAGAGCTGATCAGTCACAAGTATCGAGTAGTTTAAAATAATGAAAGAAAAAGGTAGGGTCAGTCATGTTAATTTTGAAATATTTGTCAAAATATGTGATTTTCAGGCAAAAAATGGTGTAAATTTGATCTTGACTTCTTTAATATATTTTCATTTTTTGGAAAAGTTTGTTGAGGGAAGGTGTAAAACTTGGTCTAAAAATATAAATTAAGACCTATATTAAATATTTTTAGCAATATCAAAACGGAAAATATTCTCCGAGTAAAATTATGTGAGGCTAAATTTCCATTACATTAAATTTTATAAATGTGCAGATTTGCAGAATTATCTGCTAAATATCCTTCCACCGAAAGAAATAGTCCCTCATAAATCTTGCTTCTTTGTAGAATTTTGAGCAGTTTTTTCATTGAATGTTAAAAAAATTACATTGTTGAATTTAAATATGTTATAAAAATTGAATTTTAATAAGTAGTTTTGAAGTAAAAGCTTCTGCGTGAACTTTTCTAAAAAGCTGACGAGTGACTTACCTTAAGTCTATGAACCATGAATAATTGTTTTTCCATATAAATAATTGTGCATTTGATTTACATAAATAAAATATATGCTAACTCGTGGATTTAATCCTTTGATATTTTCGGTATACTATCTTATAATTATTATTGTAATGATTCCATTTCTAACGATTTGCTGTTGGCAACCCAGAAAGAGGGCATATTAATAAACAAAAAAGTGGATGCCTGGATTGGTATATACTTTATTTCTGACTTTTTTCTGTGCTTATTTTTTTATGTAAACGATGCAGATGATAAGTTTCGAAAATATTAAGAAATTGTAAACCTTCTATGACGTTCATAATTATATTATAGCTTCCTGTAGCCATTCAGACCGTGTTAATCTGTACAAATTATTGACCATTAGATGTTATAGGCCTCGGAACCGGGAAGGGGGGAGGTGTAAACCCCCTCCCACTTTTTCTTGCAAAGGTAGACATAATATAGGCATTGAACACTGCCCAGGGGCGTAGATTTATCCCCCACTTTGAACAAGAAAGTTGCAAAAAAGGGTAAATGGTAGTGTATGTGGAAAATGATACTGAAAGATGTTCGATCCTAGCAACTAAACTTCATAAAAATGCTCATGGTATTGAAAGAAGGACATAGCCGGGAGTGAGAGTTATCTTTCTTTTCACATGCTTTAAAATAATTCATTATTAGGTCCACAGTAAAACAAATCATATCATTCTTATTAGGCCCACAAAAAAATAATTCATAATAGGTCCACAGTAAAATAATTCATATGAGGTCCACAGTAAAATAATTAAACAGCTTCATAAGATTTTATCCAGCTGCTTTCACGAATGTACAGGAGTCGACATCGTCACCAGTGATCAATCACAAAAACTTTGAAGGCAAACAAATGCTTTCATATCTTATATGTGTAACATGTGACAAGAACGGACCTTGACCTTAAGATTTTACAAACTTTTCTTTAAAAAAAATAATTATAACCTTGTTTTGTACCAGAAGAGACAGGATTGGGGGGGGTTCACATGTGAAATAGACTTTATTTCTCCGTAATCAAAGATTCGGGGGTATATAGATTTTGTACTGTCCGTCCGTCTGTCCAGCTGTATATTTGTTTGTCTGCAAAAACTTTAACCTACCCACAACTTTTGAGTAAGCGGGGCTTCGGCATATTTTTGTACAAAACCTTTCTTAAGGTACGACCAAATTTGACCTCTTGACCTTGGAGTTTGACCCACTTTTTTTTACCAAAAATTCCAAACTTTAACAGTTGCTATAAAGTTAACTTTTGAACAGATGATGCTAGGGCTTTCCTATTTCACATGTGTTCGTTATGAAAAGACCTTTCAATGGATTAAACATTGTTGACCTTGTTCTTAGAGTTTAATTGATCCACTTTAAAAATAATTAACCTTGGTCATAACTTTTGACAAGAGGCCCATGGGCCACATCGCTCACCTAAGTAACTTGGGTGATGCAGTTCTTACCAGATTCCCCCTCTTGCTATACCTATCATGCCCCACTACCCCCTTCCTTTTTATGATTTTAAGAACTTAATATCTACACTACCCAAGGATGCTTCCATATAACTTTCAGCTTTCCTGGCCCAGTGGTTCTTGAGAAGAAGATTTTTAAAGATTTCTTCTATACTTCTATGTAAAATTTGGATTCCCTATTGTGGCCCCGCCCTAACCATAGGGGTCATGATTTTAACAATCCAATACCTACACTACCCAAGGACGCTTCCACATAAGTTTCAGCTTTCTTGGCACAGTGGTTCTTGAGAAGAAGATTTTAAAATATTTGTTTTATATATTTCTATGTAAAACTTGAATTCCCTATTGTGGCCCCGCCCTACCCCCGGGGGTCATGATTTTAACAATTTAATATCTACATTACCCAAGGATGCTTCCACGTAAGTTTCCGCTTTCCTGGCACAGTGGTTTTTGAGAAGAAGATTTTTAAAGACTTGTTCTATATATTTCTATGTAAAACTTGAATTCCCTATTGTGGCCCGCCCTACCCCTGGGGGTCATGATTTTAACAATTTAATATCTACATTACCCAAGGATGCTTCCACATAAGTTTCAGCTTTCCTGGCACAGTGGTTTTTGAGAAGAAGATTTTTAAAGACTTGTTCTATATATTTCTATGTAAAACTTGAATTCCCTATTGTGGCCCGCCCTACCCCTGGGGGTCATGATTTTAACAATTTAATATTTACATTACCCAAGGATGCTTCCACATAAGTTTCAGCTTTCCTAACCCAGTGGTTCTTGAGAAGAAGATTTTTAAAGATTTGTTCTACATATTTCTATGTATAATTTGGATTCCCTATTTTGGCCCCGCCCTACCCCTGGGGGTCATGATTTTAACAATTTAATATCTACACTATCCAAGGATGCTTCCACATAAGTTTCAGCTTTCCTGGCCCAGTGGTTCTTGAGAAGAAGATTTTTTAGTGACCCCACCCTATTTTTGTCTTTTCTTGATTATCTCCCCTTGTAAGGAGACTTGGCCCCCTCATTTTAATAATTTAAACTCCCCTTCACCCAAGGATGTTTTGTACCAAGTTTGGTCAAAATTGGCCCATTGGTTCTTGAGAAGAAGTCGAAAATGTGAAAAGTTTACAGACGGACGGACAGACAGACAGCTAGACAGACGGATGGACGACGGACAAAATGTGATCAGAAAAGCTCACTTGAGCCTTTGGCTCAGGTGAGCTAAAAACAGTTAGTATTAGGACTTTCATTCTTCACAGGGTATTCCTTGCAACAAGATCTGGGTACCAACAATTTTGATCTTTTGATCTTGACCTTGGAGTTTGACTTTTGGCATTTGAGAAACCTCAACCCTCGTTATAATCTCTCATAGGGGGCATCAATGTTTCACTAACACATCTTGTTGAATAACTATTTTTAACCTCATGACCTCACGGTTTTTTAAAGCTTGTCAGTAAATTAAGCACCAGAATATATGCAAAAAATAAAACATTTTTTGGGAATGATGGAAAGACAAAAGACAAAACAGTTGTAACACGCATACAGAACATTGCCCTCAACCAAAAGGGGGAGGGGCAAATTTTTGAGAATGCGCTTCTTTAATTTGTCGTCCCCCGCTTTTGCAACAAGAGGCCCATGGGCCACATCGCTCACCTGAGAAGCTTTGACCATTCTGTTCTTTACCAGATTTCCCCCTTGTAATACATAATGCATCCCCACCCTACCCCACTGATCATATTTTAGATATTTTGAAATCTACACTACCCCAGGATCCTTCCTTGTGCACATAAGTTTCAGCTTTTCTGGCCCAGTGGTTCTTGAGAAGAAAATTTTCAAAGATTTTTCCTATATATTTTAAAGTAAAACTTTGATTACCAATTGTGGCCCCACCCTTTCAACGGGAGTCATGATTTGAACAATTTAGAATCTACACTATACCAGGATTGTGGTCCCACCCTTCCCCTGGGGGTCATAATTTAAAAAATTTAGAATCTACACTATACCAGGATGTTTCCACATAAGTTTCAGCTTTTCTGGCCCAGTGGTTCTTGAGAAGAAGATTTTCAGAGATTTTTCCTATATATTCTTATGTAAAACTTTGATTCCCAATTGTGGCCCGCTCTTCCTCCGGGAGTCATGATTTGAACAATTTAGAATCTACACTACTCCAGGATGCTTCCATATAAGTTTCAGCTTTTCTGGCCCAGTGGCTCTTGAGAAGAAGATTTTCCAAGATTTTTCCTATATATTTCTATTTAAAACTTTGATTCCCCGTTGTGGCCCCACCCTTCCCCTGGGGGTCATGATTTGAACAATTAGAATCTACACTATACCAGGATGTTTCCACATAAGTTTCAGCTTTTCTGGCCCAGTGGTTCTTGAGAAAAAGATTTTCAAAGATTTTTCCTATATATTTCTATGTAAAACTTTGATTACCAATTGTGGCCCCACCCTTTCCCCGGGAGTCATGCTTTGAACAATTTAGAATCTACACTATACCAGGATGTTTCCACATAAGTTTCAGCTTTTCTGGCTCAATGGTTCTTGAGAAGAAGATTTTCAAAGATTTTTCCTATATATTTTTATGTAAAACTTTGATTCCCAATTGTGGCCCGCTCTTCCTCCGGGAGTCATGATTTGAACAATTTAGAATCTACACTACTCCAGGATGCTTCCATATAAGTTTCAGCTTTTCTGGCCCAGTGGCTCTTGAGAAGAAGATTTTCCAAGATTTTTCCTAAATATTTCTATTTAAAACTTTGATTCCCCGTTGTGGCCCCACCCTTCCCCTGGGGGTCATGATTTGAACAATTAGAATCTACACTATACCAGGATGTTTCCACATAAGTTTCAGCTTTTCTGGCCCAGTGGTTCTTGAGAAAAAGATTTTCAAAGATTTTTCCTATATATTTCTATGTAAAACTTTGATTACCAATTGTGGCCCCACCCTTTCCCCGGGAGTCATGCTTTGAACAATTTAGAATCTACACTATACTAGGATGCTTCCACATACGTTTCAGCTTTTCTGGCCCAGTGGTTCTTGAGTAGAAGATTTTCAAAGATTTTTCCTATATATTTTTATGTAAAACTTTGATTCCCAATTGTGGCCCGCTCTTCCTCCGGGAGTCATGATTTGAACAATTTAGAATCTACACTACTCCAGGATGCTTCCATATAAGTTTCAGCTTTTCTGGCCCAGTGGCTCTTGAGAAGAAGATTTTCCAAGATTTTTCCTAAATATTTCTATTTAAAACTTTGATTCCCCGTTGTGGCCCCACCCTTCCCCTGGGGGTCATGATTTGAACAATTAGAATCTACACTATACCAGGATGTTTCCACATAAGTTTCAGCTTTTCTGGCCCAGTGGTTCTTGAGAAAAAGATTTTCAAAGATTTTTCCTATATATTTCTATGTAAAACTTTGATTACCAATTGTGGCCCCACCCTTTCCCCGGGAGTCATGCTTTGAACAATTTAGAATCTACACTATACTAGGATGCTTCCACATACGTTTCAGCTTTTCTGGCCCAGTGGTTCTTGAGTAGAAAATTTTCAAAGATTTTTCCTATATATTTTTATGTAAAACTTTGATTCCCAATTGTGACCCCGCCCTTCCCCCGGGGGTCATGATTTGAACAATTTAGAATCTACACTACCCTAGGATGCTTCCACATAAGTTTCAGCTTTTCTGACCCAGTGGTTCTTGAGAAGAAGATTTCTTAATGACCCCACCCTATTTTTGTCTTTTCTTAATTATCTCCCCTTGTGAGGGGACTTGGTCCTTTATTTTTACAATTTAAATTCCCCTTCAACCAAGGATGCTTTGTACCAAGTTTGGTTAAAATTGGCCCAGTGGTTCTTGAGAAGAGGTCAAAAATGTGAAAAGTTTACAGACGGACAGACAGACGGGCGATGGACAAAATGTGATCAGAAAAGCTCACTTGAGCCTTCGGCTCAGGTGAGCTAAAAAGGGAAATTTTGAAATGGCAGCATAAGTAAACGGAAAAAGAAATCTAGAAACAGTGCATTTTTGTGCGCAGTAAATATACACTTTTTTCAATGGGTGGAACTGTAGCTCTGGTCGTCCATCCAATTTTTTTCAGACCAGCGAGCTACAGATCAGCTATATTACCCCGTAATGAAAGATTCGGGGGTATGTAGTTTTTGCCCTGTCCATCTGTTTGTCCACAAAAACTTTAACCTTGCCCATAACTTTTGAGTGGGTGGGGCTATGGCTTCCATATTTCACAGGTATCTTCCTTCTGACTAACCTTTCTTTGGAAACCACCATATTTGACCTCTTGACCTTGGAGTTTGGTCCACTTTTACCAAAAACTACCAAAATTCTTAAACTACCAAACCATAACTTTTGAATAGTTGGTGTTAGGGCTTTCATACTACACATGTATATTCATTGTGAAAAGACCTTCCAATGGGTATAAATATTTTTTACCTTTTAACCTTGACCTTAGTTTTACCCACTTTTAATAAACTTTAACCTTGGCTACATCTTTTGAACAGTAAATACTAGAGTTTTCACATTTCACAAGTGTATGACCATGACATTAATATAACATACTTATTTTAATATAAAATTTGCCTATCTATTTTAATAGGGAATTTAATCTTGAAGGTACAGCATATTTTCCCATACTCACAAAGAAGGTATTATATTGTGTAAAATTCATTCATCAGTCTGGTGTTAGTCATAACCTCTGAGAGAGATGCGAAAAGATGGGACTTTCTCATGTCAAGACCTTTCCAAACATACTGCACGTATGGTTTTGACCCCCCATGACCTTGACATCTGACTTACTTTTTTAAGAAAAAGAAACATTGAGAGAAAATAGGTCTTTCAAATAAATGACACCTTTCAGAAAGAAATATTTTTTTTCATTTCATGACCTTGAACTAAATTTGTGATCTACTTCATATCAAAGATGTTATTTTTTAACAGCAACTCCTATTTCAAGAGACAGGACCATAATTATTTCACATGAACATATAAAATGTGAGAAGACCTTTTAGACTGTACTGTAATATTTTACCTCATGACCTTGACTTTGAAGTTTGATGCACTTTTGTTTTCATCATAGCTTTACCTAATTAATAAAATTAAGTCCTTTTTGTTTCATGGTCAGATAAGACGATTAATAAAATATGCCGAAAATAATAGCATCCACATAAACAAGACACAAAAACCAACGGAACTGGCTATACCTCTCTTATGCATCATTTACTGAACTGTTGTAATTTGGTCTTTTCAAATACTCAACTAATATGCCAAATTGTGAAACAGATAACAAAACACAAATTTAATATTAAATTCAGTTTCAATTGAGGTTTATTACAGAAACAAGAAATGCTTTAACATATAAATACACAAATCAAATGTATAAAAAAAGATGTCTTACAAATCATTGAGAGTGACACCTAAGAAATGTCAAGGACACCTCTAAGAGGTCAAGGCTACCTCTGAAGTGAATAAGCAAATGAAATAATAAGCACCAATTCTAGCTGAACAATATCAACTAGTTATACAACTCTGGTTTTATGTGCAACATAAACTGATATACATAATTATAACATTTCACACACATTCTAGAAATTAAAAGAAAACAAAGCTGCTAAAAAATTAACAAAAATTCGGCAGTAAAAAAATGATTTTGGCTTTGCAAGCAAATTTGTTCACTAGGTTTTTTCACACAAAGTGGCAACTTCAGTGGACATCCACTACATATAGCTTATCGTTTGGTTTTGTTTTATAGCTAATTCAGTGTAAGTCTTAGGGACAACATTTTTTGAATGAAATCTTTCACTTATTAAAAGCAAACATTTCAACTAGAGCATATAAAAAGTTTAAAAAAAAAAACATTTTAAATTTGCAATCATTAAAAAAAAACAAGTAAAATTCATTTGTACTCATTTAAATACTATTACATGTAGTTTGTATTAATATCATTGAAATCAGTAATGTACCAAAAAAAATATGAAACATGTTTTTAAAAGTTATCTTCATGAAGAGGCCTTTTTTCAAATTATCTTAATAATCTTCTTTCCAGCTATAAAGGAATAAAAGAAATCTCCAAGTTAAAAAAAAAAGATTTTTTTTTTTACAAGTATATGTATATAAAAGGCAAAAATAATTTTGATGTTAAAATGCTAACATAAGGAAATACACAAATTGCAAAATAAAAGCAAAACTGCCTTGTGCAAATGAAAGATATACACAGCAAATATTTAAAATAGCACTATTCCAATATGGATTTTGATGTCACTTTGTGACAAAAGGAAATAAAACAAAAGGAACTGAAATGTATCAAAAAGCAAACTAAGCTCTGAGAATTTTCTTTAAGTGCCACTCTCAAACCTAGCCCATTAATCTCTCTCAGAAATCCACTTGTACCGAAAATATCCTAACTTTACTCAGTTCATATTAAAAGTCTTTTTTAATCACATTTATAACCAATTTTCACTTACATATGTATACGATTTCTTTGAAATGATTAAAACATTTGACATGACAATGATGTGAAATAAACTTAAGGGTAAATTAAAATGTAACTATGTACCATGTATATTAAATCTGGAAACCAAGTATTGCACTTTTTTAACATATGACATTAGTTTAAATAGATGTATGAATTAAGTTGAAATAACATCCAAGAATAAAAGCTGTGTTCACCTGTTTAAAATGATAAAAGGTTTCAAAAAGTGCTTCAAAACATTAAAAGATTCACAAAAATACAAATAACTCTACAACCAATGTAAAATTAATTTAATCACCTCAGGCTTTCCTAATGATTTTTTTTCTTTTTGTTTTAAAAATGATTTTCTTCATAAATTCTTTGAGAATTAACACAGTTGTTCAATGTGTATATAAACATTTAAAAGATGCAGATTGTGTACAAGTGATTGTGGAATGGTTCACATTTTAGCTTTGCAAATGTGAATTGAATATTGCTGCTCCAATGTGAAATCAGTTTTTCTCAAAATGATAACACCTCCCCAAGTAACTCAGAGTAAATGCATTCATTCTAGAATATAAAATATGTGCATTATTTGTAGATTTATTTAAATAAATAACTGATACTACTTGTGAATGTTCTCGGGATGCACCAAATGAATTCTCCCTGATCAACAGTTCATAGTTGATCACCTCACTCATTAATACATGTAAGTCAAAATTCTCTGTTCCGAGAATAAAAATATTAAGATTTTATACTATAAGGACTAAACAGGTTTTAACATCCTAAACCACTATTGATACATAAAATTCCCAACCTGGCATCTGGCTCAGGTTTGGTTGGAGTATAAATCATCTAATACCTTCCTGTGAATATATAGATTTGTGTCTATAGCTCATTCTCTGTAATTGATATACATGGTAGTATGAAAATATCACAAATTGCATTCTGGACGATTCTAAACAGAAATTAAACATCAGCTTATTTCAAATGCTAGAGATAGAAAATTTTTTAAGTATTAACAAGTACATTTAAGGAAAAACATAGCGTAATTGATCGTGTTGTATATTCTTATGATAATCTATTATCCATTACCAAATTATTATTTAGGTTTTTTAGAAAAATACTAAAAGTATAGAGAGTACATATTTTCCTGCATGAGTGATACACAATTTCGCCTACCTTTGTGTATACTTCGTACTTCTTCAATAACACATACAAATAATGATATAATTGTAATACTACATCATAACAATAATGGGAGATAATTCATACAGACTTCACAACAACTGGACATGTTAAGGCAAGTTCAGTTCTACTCCGGTATACATACAACTGAACTTAATTTGTATCATTTAAAATAGATATATTTATATATAAAAAGAAAAAAAAAAATCTCATGATAGTATGAACATTTGTCTCACATGACCTCACACTTATAAAAGGCATAAACTCTAAATGATAATTCTCACTACTTCACATAATCACAATCACATTCCCTCTAAACTGCAGAGGAAAAGATTTGTTCAGATAGGTCCATTCAAAAATCCTCACAAGGTTTCCATTTTGTGCAAAGGATTATGGTCTGGGAAGTTTGAGCATGTGCACTGAGACTGACAAAAACTTATTCACTTGAAACATGAGGTAAACACTAAATGACATGAGATCAATTGCTTATTATGCCTTGCAGCAACTCGTGGACTCAAGAAAATTCATTAATGATATTTACAAATCTTCTGAAGGGAAAAGAAATAACTTTCATGCTAAATGAATGATGATTTCAAAATAAAAATTTTCTGTTTCATTCACAGAGTAATAAAAAAAATTGATCCCATGGTTTTGTGTATTAAGTGACTGGTATGTTATTGTTCCGATGATGCGATTTCACAGGGGTCGATGTGAGGGTAACATCTAAATCGTCCATTTCCTGACATGCTTCTTCTAACTCCCCAGACCTCTGATGGCCAGCATTATGTAACAGTCCATTCCTGCTTTCGCTCGGCAAATCCAGTCGTCCACCAGCCCTGGCAGCAAGGTTCAATGGAGAGGGTGAGTTGCGACAGAAAGTCTTTGATGGCGAGGAAAATGCATCGTCGCTGGTCACCGAGCGACACATTGGACTTCCTGTCATGGAATCGCTATCGTTAACCGAGTCATCGTTAGCAAAACTGTCACTTAATATGTCATCGCCATCATAAAAATACTCATTCCCATCTTCATCCACTCTGTATCTAATACATTTCTTCTTCCTCCTGAAAAAAACAAAGTCAAAACTTTATTCAATGTTCCAATCTTTAAAGACCATTGGTTTACTTTATATTTATTGACCTTTTAAAGGGGAAAAATTAAAACAATCATAAATTAAAAGAGAATCCAAAATGTATTTATCAATTTTCTCAAACTGTTTGAAATTCAAAGGTAAAAAAATAATTTTTGATGAAGCATTTGGTTCATGCCTGTGAATACAATATGATGAATAAATACTGGCTACATAACATGATTAGGCATACAAAACAGATTCTACTCTTGTTTATGTAACTAATTCTGCTTTAGTTTTTTTTACAGATTGCATAACACTGTTCCATAAAAGCAAACTAATTTGACAAAGCTGATGAAAATGCATTTCTATCTAGAATTGTTTTGTCTGGCAAGTAGCATATTTCTCAGCATGTATCATGCTGCAATGTTTAGCACCAAAGATGTAAATATTTCAAAGCAAATCACTTGATTACTTTTTTCTTGGTTAAATACAAGTAAACATCAAAAGCCAAAAAAAAAAGAAAAAGAAAAAAACATCACAAAAAAATTCAGAATTAAATATTAACAATATCACACATAAAGAAAAAAAATCTTATTAATCTAAGGCATACATGTTTAAAAGATTTTATAAAAGTAATCTATGCATAATGACTGTTCCCTGTTGCTATGGCAACATGCAAATTTTATTAAGCTGATGAGTAGATGCAATGCATGATGGGTAAAATAATCTCCTGAAAAGGATGGAAAATTTAAAGCATTAATTTTAGGCTGCATACAAAAAAATGAAAGAGCATGCATAATAGGCAGCGGTGTTGTGCGTCTAGGCTGCATACTTGTAAAAGCGGCATTCTGATTAACTTGAATATTGTAATACCTCCTGAGGATTTGATGGTTTTACATCAGCTGTTTCGCACGAATTCTCATGCAAAGACCTGAAATGATATAAAACCTACAGGATTTCTGAAGAAAGACCAGAGTAAGGGCGAACGTGTGAGACCAGAGGATGCAAAGTCTAGAGGACAAAGTTATAACATTGGTAGAAATTCTGATATATGATTGAGAAATTTGTGAAGCATCCTAATTCAGAGGATTGAAAAGATGTTAAAAGATTTAAATATGAAGTATATACCATCTGAATAAAAAAATCTCTATTTTAATAGTGAATGTCTATATGACATATACATGTAGAGCACTGAGAGTTGTTGTTAGCATTCCATATAAAATCTACACTTGTAAAATCTAATAATAAGGAAAATCTCATTCCAAAAGGAGATAAGGCTACTTCTATCCCTCTGAAAAACCACATAAACTGAAGTTATGTGTACCTTCATTTTGGAGGGAAAAATTTGCAAAAAATATATTGGACATCAAACTATCCCTCAAAGTACTTGTAAGTTGGGATTATTAATTAACCAGAAAACTTCCTCTCAAAAATCAAGAGAAAGATTTTTCAGTTCATGTTGTGTGAATGTCGACTGAGTCTTCAGCCAGCCAGAGATACATACCGACAGGGCTTGCACCACTGATTCTGTTGATCTACCCCGTACCGAGCTCGACATTTCTTAGGATTACTACAGTCTGCAAGACAATACAGAATACCTATCAATTTAAACAAGTTTCTACTCAGAAACTTGTTTCAGGAAATGGCAAAGTATTCATGCATGCACAGATTAAGAAAAATCGCTCTTGAATTCATTGTTACAATTTTTTTTCAAACTCTAAACATACTTTATGTATCAAAGTTTTGCATGCATGTCTTTAAGCTGTGAGTACAGATATTTACATTTGACATAAAAAATAAAAACAAAAATTTTGCTTGCACTGTTACTGATCTATAAAAGACTTAAAACATAAGGGATGAATTTGGAGAATATAACAATACCCTTGCTAGGGGTACCATCCTTTTTCTTTCTCTTCTTTTTCGTGTGACAAGCATAATTATCCCGGGCACTCCAGCCTGGGTACAGCTGCATATGTAGCTCCTTCTCCTTCCTTGCCATTTCGTAATATTTAGCCTGTTCAGCTCTGTCTAACGCATGCCACTGTAAAACAAGAATCCACTCATTAGCTGTCATATTTGAATTACCTCCCTTTTCACATTCTCTGTTCAACATAAAAATCCAATAACTTTTTTTTAAAGAATTTCAGATCATTCCTGGATGTGACATTTTTATCAACATATTTATTGACATATTTGCTTTTGAAAGACTATGGTGCCCATAAATGTATTGAAATCCAACTCCATTCAAGTGCAGCATATAAACACATGCAAATGCATACAATGACTTTTAAACATTGCTTGCACCATATGGGCCAGCTTTAAAAGCTTTGAAAGGTTTGAAATACTAGGCTGGCAGTGATCTTTTCAATATTTCACAAGATATCAATTTTCTTAGTTTTTCCGGGCACAATACCAGCACGTCATAAATGAAAACTAGAGATACTGTGGCCTTAAATCCATTTTATTTTGCAAAGGTAATATGATCAATCGCATTAACTTTATAAAACATAATGCATGCACACTAGGTGAAACATTATTTCCCATTCCCTCTTACAATTAATCCTTCCTTTTTGATGCAATTTTTACAATACTGCTTAAAAAAGGCAAATCAAACTAACTCTCTGATATTCAGTTTATAAAAATATGATAAATTATTTAATCAGTGTATCCTTTTCAGCTATTATGACTCTTTTTAAATTCAAATCCCTTGATTTCATTTGATACAAGCAGCATGCCATTCCTTTGTCAGGAATGAATTTAAATTTGCTGCATATGCTGCTGAAAAAATTGTGAATTTCTCTAAAAAACTAAAGTTGTTACTTACTCTGCGACCTAATATTTGGTTAATAGCTGCCGATTCTTTTAACGTGCATTCGGACACGACTTTGCCCCGCATTTCTTTCATGAAGAGCATGAAAGCATTTAAAGGTTTCTTTACATAATTTTTCTTTTTTTCCTCTGGTAGGTTCTCAGAGAGTTTACCAGCGTCACCATTTAGTGAATTTCTGCAAGAAAAAAAATTCGGCAGATATTTTAACAGTCCCTTTTACTTACTCGTCGCCCTAAAATTTGGTTAATGGCTGCTGATTCTTTAAGCGTGCATTCAGCCACCACTTGTGCCCTCATCTCTTTCATAAAGAGCATGAAGGCATTGAGTGGTTTCTTTATGTGGTTTTTCTTTTTATCTTCTGGGGGATGATGACCAGAGTTTGGGCCACCCCCACCATACTGATCTAAGGTACTGTTTCTACAATGTATAAAAGTTGGACTTCAAAATCCTCCCACGTTTCATACAATTTTTGTCTCTCAATGGACTCACTTAAATAAACTGATTGATTGACTCATTTTTGTTATAGACAATTTCACAAATTCGATGAAATATCCAATTCATAAATTGCTTTTCGATTGATTTTTTTCTTTTTTAGAATTTACTGTAATTTGCATTTGCCAGGAACAGGTAAGTAAAGTCTTTCAATGAAAAAATCTTTCATGCATATTTCATTTTTTCAACATTAAAGCTATGCCATTTTTCTGGAAAATAATAAAAATTCAATCCAATTTATAAAAGATATTCATGACCTTTTTTCTAACACATCGTTATGAGAGGATCAGAAGAAATTCATTGAAGTCATCTATATAAAAGTTAATACAATGTGCCTTTCAATTAATTTGAAATCAACAAAAGACGATACTGATCAATCTCTCTAAGACTGCAACCAAATTTTATTAATTAGGGCTTAAAATCAACATGCATGCATTGAACAAATCTTCATAATACAACTCTAAAAAGTTTCATGAATAAGTATTATACAGTATTTTCCCCGAGCATTTCTCTTCTTATTTCCAAGTTCCTTAAGCAAACATTTTTAGAGCTGGAATAAACATGTACCCTCCCAAACAACAAATTGTAAGATATAGAACATTCATAAAATGATATGATAAACTTACTAAACTTACAACTCACCATGTACAAATTGACTTTGATAAAAAATATTTCATTTTTAGGAGTCTTACATTTGTATAGTAGAGATAACTGTATTAAAACCAGTGTGTGTTCAGATCTCTCACCTGTCTTGGTTATGAGGGTTTGGTTCTTGCTTGGTTCCTGGGGAAACCATAGATGGGTGGGGCATCCCCGGGTGAAGGCCAGGGGGAGGGAACAGACCGGGATGTCCAAATCGTGAGAGAGAGGAGGTGTTGACTAATGAGGGTGGGTAAGGCCCAGAGAAGGCACCTGAGGAAATAGGGTAGCCAGAGTGTCCTCTCCTGAAAATTTATAAAACTCAAATTACAAATCCTTCAAAATTTAAATAAATTCATAAACGCCTACTGCAAAATTCTCTACATGTATCATATTCTGTGCACTTAATCTTCCTTAAAAATAAACTGTTTTGAAATTTAGAAGAATTCATGCTCACTCCCAAATTATTTGTTTGGAAATTTAGAGGAATTCATGGTTTTTAAAAAAAATTTATTTATTAAATCATTTTTCTTTACTACTGATTTGTTAAAATGTTCTTGGATTGCAACTACCGCTTTCTGTTATCCTAAAAAAATCCTCTCTTCTTATTTTTGAAAAATATTTTATCCCAGTTCTGTGTGCAAAAAAATAAGTAGAAATAAAATTCCTAATAATAACTGCATAAAAAAGAACACATCATTAAAGCAATAGAAATCTTCAAGTAATGATATCCTTATATACGGAAATTGAATATGTAATACAATTCAAATGAAGAAACACATTCCTTTTTATACAGGAAATACTTATTAAGGGATTTTGTTTTAAGGGGAAAAAGTCAAAGAGAAGTGTTGGTCTGTCACATATGAAGTACTTGTACTTATATTATTGATCCTCGATCATCACACAAAATCCTGGAGAAAGATGAGAAAAAAATAATTTATAAGGAGAAAATCTCCTTGGGAAAAACCTACTTGAGAGTGAAAATGTTTTTCCTCTTAAAATCAGCAGGAAAATCTTCCCCCTTTTTTTTCTATATTGCAGGACAGAAGTGTCATTTATTAAATATCAAATCCCTACATTAACAAATATAAAATGCAAATATTGATTAAGATCCCCAATGAATGGGTATGCACCCAAGAAGTAGTGAAATTCATAATTCTCTGAACAATTTCAAATTACTCCTCAATACTATATAAAGATTAGAGGCTTGTCATAAAAAGTTGGAAGAGATTTGATGCATTCACATGCCATGGGCTATTCAATACTATCATAAAAGAAAATATATTTTGCCATTAGATGTCAAGTCCCATGTTACCTAGAGCAAATGAACTTCCATTCAAAGCTTAGTTTGTAATTACTGAACATGTACTAAAAAGTATCTCCCCTACTTCATAGCATTTTTTGCATATTGTATATAAACTCAAACATTGAAGAATAAATGATGCCATTTAAAGAATATTCCCATAAGATTTGTGAAAATGATTTATTCTGTGTTTTTAAAAAAAATCTTTGATTCAAAAGATGATTTTAAAGACCTAGCTTTTTAGATGATGAACATTTCTGATTATTTCTTGTAGGAATAAAACCAGAATTTTAATTAGCAAATGATATTTTTGATTCTAGTAAAATTTTAATTCTTATTAATAAAACATTTAATTTTCTCAAGAGTGAGGAACCTGCTAAGGCCTATATGTATTTTATTTATACCTGAATTTCAATTATGTCTATATTTGGCAAAATACATTAAAATCTGCAAATACCACCAATTAAATGCCACAAAATTGTTATATTTGAATTCTCCTATGGAATCAAGAGCCATTTTATCTCTATTGTCTCTGGTTTATGTAAATTTCACACCTTTATAAAAAAAATTATCCTTTAGGTTCAAAACTTACACAATGTAAGTATAGATATACATCAAAACTGTCTTTTTTCAAGATGTCATTTTCATCTCCCCATTCTTCAAGGCAGGAAACATAAATAAAGAATATAACAGCCATCCTTTCCACATCATTATACCCTTCTTAATATTCCTAGGTCTGCGAGCCTTAGACGACAAGATGGCAGGTACATTGACAATTACTGGTTAATGTAGTGTAATAATCGGAACCGTATCACCTATTTTTTTCAACTGACCCCATGGTACGTGGTAATGAGCTTCTTTTCTTTGCCTGTTTATAAATGCACTGGATAGGAAAATGATCCCTGCGTCTTCAAGCCTACATTGAAGTCTGAGTGTGGGCTTATAGACCAAAAAAAAAATAAAACTCGAGAAAAACCTTGTAAAAAGACTCCTTGGGTAGGTCTCATCTATTTAAAATGTCTATCAATCACAAAGTATAATGCATATTTTACCTTTCAATACAAATTAAATTATTTCACAACAGTATTAAAGTTAGAAATGTCTCGATTCTTACCGCCCCAGTAAAACAGATGGCAAGCACAAGAGAAAGACTTATTTTACAATCTACTTCTGAAATAGGTTAATTGTTTTATTAGTTATTCTATGACCAATATCAGATAGTGTGCACAAACAAAAAAGTTCACTAGATCTTTTGAGATGATTGGCCATCCTAGTGGGGTACTTAATACTGTAAAGATCGAGTTATGTGTCAAGATTCTCAACTTCTTTGTAGTCCTTATAATTAGATATTGACAAGCTTCACCCTGCAATTGCTCATAGGCCATGTTCAGTGAGGTTCTTTTCCTTCTACATATTTAGCAAATCCTCTCTTTTCAATTTTTTTAAAAAATATATTCCGTCTTTCATTTTATTATAATATAAGTGTTTTAAAAATCATTCTGATCAAACATTTACCATGATATTTTGGGGGGAAAGTCTTTATAAACAAAAAAAAAAAAAAAAAAATGTTGCCTTGCTTTGTTACGTTATGCACATGCAAACTCACCCTCACACATTGGTGTAATACTATATCCCCTCCCACTTCATTGCAAGGGCCGGGGAATAAACACTGCATTTTGCTCAACACTGTAATACCTACCATTGAACTTGTGAGAGGTCTGGCCCATAGAGACTAGGAGGGGGAAACTGGCCTGGGGCAGGGTAGGCATACATGGGATGTCGTGGTAAACCTGAAAAAAATATTGTCATTTTAATTAAAATTTTATTTATCTCTAATCATAAGTTTTTCATTTTAATATTTGGTCATACATGAATTATTCCACACAGAAAAAAATTAAAATGGCTACTTCATATGGTTTCAGCCAAAATATTGGTTAAGGAAAAAAATTGTTTATTTTGTCTGCCAAACCCCTGCACAAGAGGCTTATTTTTTCTTTTGTTCTATCTCAACTGTTGCATATATATATACTTGCCCTGTCCAATGAATGTAATAAGGTCAATAGCAAGCACTTCATGCAACAATGTATTGCCCTTAAACTACTTGTCTGCACACTTGAGGCCATTGAACATTTCTAGTTATATTTTATTACTTTTTCTTACTTTTTTGCACATTGAACTTCCTGTAGCATTAAACGATCAATAAAAATTAAGTAATATTTTTGTGGTTTTCAGTATTTTGCATCCTTCTTCTTATATAATTGTGTGAATCATTTTATGAATGCAACAGTCTTAAATCCTATATAAAATGATCTAAAATATATACATTTTTCCCCTGACCTTGCCTTTTAGCAGTACAAGTTAAAAGAAATATTTTTTCACTTCAAAACAGATAAATAGTAACTAATCTAAATCATAAATCATATAAAACTTAATTTTCTATGCAAATTGTTATATATTTTCCTTCCTTTCCAAAAACATAACAATATTAGGAAACAATTTTGCCTTACAGTAAGACAATCGGAGATTTAAAATGATATTCAGTGACTGTAAAAATAGCCAAAATAAAAAAAATATTTTCACAGTAATTAGCCAAACCCTAACACTGGTAAATTTTGCCTAGCCTCTGTCTGTGGCCCAGTGTTTCTGGTTATCGTTTTTTTATGAATAATTGATTTAGCATGATTTTAAGCAAATAAAATTACATTAAATGCAATAATTTTCCCTACAATCATTAAGACCTGTTTGTTGGACCAACATAAGGCAACTAGACCAGTCAATAGAAGAGTATTATAGCCTTGCAATCAAAATGGCAGATTTATGGTTTCTGAATTGTCACAGATGTAAATATCATATTTTTTTTTGTCCTGACAGCATTATAAAACTGAATGCAGAGATGCAGGCATACAGTCATTTTAATCTGAATTTTTTTAGCAAAAAAAGGCACCATTGAAAAGTGATTTATTGTCCTACTTTTAATTACAAGCGGTAAAATTCATAATATTATAGGATCTTTCTTTTCAAGCAAATGACTGAAATTTCAGGAGATGCCGAATCTGACACTTATCCCCTATCTTAATATGTTTGTAATTGAAAAACGGAACAGATTTCAATTTATAAAGGTTGGTTGCTAGCTTTAGAGAGAAAGGTTCTTTGATTTTTTTTAATACGCTTTCATATTTTCTCTTTTTTCCGTTAAATTAATTACCAGATAAAAATGTGCAACTGAAAATACAGCAGGTTGCATAGGAATAATTTATGAATGAAACATTTCTGGGTGCATATTCAATAACGAAAGAAAATTACAGGTACATAGCCCAAAAGCAATAAAGTATAAGTTGCTGTTGCATATATTTTTTTTCTTCTTGTTTTTAATGAAAGCCATGTTAACTACTTATAACCTGCATAACAAAAATACTAAGCATAGGACAATAACTCACAAATATTTATTTTTTTTTTTTTTTAAATTTATTTTTGAATGCAATGTAATTTAATTGATTTTATATATATTCAACAATAATAACCAGATAGATTGGTGGCATTTATTTTGATGCCTTGTCTTTATTTATATTTTCCTTTTTTTTTTTTTTTGACAGGGGTACGTGCCCCAGTGGGGGGGGGGGGGGGGGAGATCCTTGTGTTTCTTTGTTTTTGTTATTTTTTTAATTTTAAAAAGTATGAATTTTTTTGTGCATGGTTTCTTTT